ATGGCCTGACAAGCGTGGCAAGCTAAAAAAGGAACAACCTGCCGGCAAGAGGTCCGTAAAAGCACTAAAATCCCCGGCATCAACCCAAGTCTCTGTGAGAAAGAGAAAATCCAAATCCTTCGAGTTAAAAAAGTCCCTTAAAATAAAGGTTTTATTCCTCAGTGAGCGGACATTCACCAGGCCAAACCTTGCCAGGTCCTGAGCTTGAGGCACCACCGGTTGCGAAACCGGTCGAAGCGGCTTCAAAGCACAAAGATCCACCCCACGCCGGTGAAGCCGAGAGGGACAAGGCCCACTGGGCCGCGGACCCTCGTCACCACCCACAATAGACACCAGATAGCCATGGTTAGGATCCCTTACATGCCGCGGCACCATAAACCCTGGATATGGTCTCCAGCCCTTCCAGGAACTAGATGATGAGTATGTAAGATGAGCCTTTAGTCTCACCAACTGCCCACTACACCGGCCCTGCCGACGGAAACGTTTCCGCCAGGGGAACAAGGCCGATGCCCAGAGCAAATAAGCCGGGATCCCCGATAAAACCGGGGGAACAGTTCCTTGTCCGTCACGTCCTTGTCCTCGCCCTTAAATTGAAGACCTAGAAGAAAACGGCAATCATACACCAGCAGAGACTCAGTCCTTGATACACCAACAATTAAAAACGCCACAATCACCAGCCAGAAAGAGAGCAACAGATGAGCAGCCACCAACACTGGCGCCATCTTGTTTTGAATGATTCTAGTGAAAAAAACTAACACTAACTCAACTGCAGCCAAATATGTAGATTTTTTTCCTCATATCCATTAAATGGTGTACTTTAGCGTTAAATGCTGTTACAGTGCGCATATGTGGTTTAAATAGTTATAATTAGTAACTGGACTGGCTGAACGCTTTTTGTACTTTGAGCCATGTCAAAACTAGACAAACCCCTCTTGCTCAAAGTGTGTGTGTGTGTCTGTATTTTTAATTCTAGTGTGAGTTTTGGTGTGAATACATATCTGTATGTGCAAATTCAAGACATACAAAAAAAATTTAATTGTCCCTGTGTTTGCCATTTTTAATGTGGAAGTTAAAAGTTGCAACACACTGTAATGTATTTTTGAACTTTTAAGCAGCTTAATTACCAAAGGCCATGTAACCTCATTATCACTGCATTTGTTCCGAATCTCAGACAGGGAACACAACACAGACAACCTCATTGTTCAGTCTTGCATCAGTCTCAGCCAGTCTGGGCCAGGAAGCTGATACTTACCTGCCTAACCCCAGAGGAAACATTACAGTGTGGGAGCTTGTAAGTCTCCACTGTGCACTGTGATGCTCTGTTTCATGATACTGCATATTGGCAACTGCTAGGAAGAATGTGTTATATTTCCAGTAGTTTTGAATAGCTGGAGATCTGGACTGCCTCTTATGCTGCTGCAACTGTATTTCAGAGAGTTGGTCTTGAAAGTAACTTTCCTCTCACACCCTTAATGGTGTATGGCCCAGTCCCTTAAGCTTCACAGTGGAAATTAAGCACTGAAAAAAGTATTTCACACTGGAAAACACATTAGTGACCTGTCTTAGTGTTTTTATTACTCATTGAAAACCATTCAAATATTTTCCATGCAGTTATTTAGTTTCAGTTCTATGGGTATTACACATTTAAAATGGCCTTATTTTCATGTTTTTGTTATTTTCATCTTTGTCATTTCCATTTTGCATGGAATGTGTTGGATCAGGTTCAAGAAAAGGAATTCAAGTGCTTGCTCTCACAGGAAACACATACACAGAAACAGAAAAATGAGAATTTTAGCCTTAAAGATGAATTACCCTCCCTGTTTGATTTGACATCTACTCTAGGTATCTCACAGTTTTACATGGATGTGCTTCTTTTTGTGTCATGTACAAAATCAACATGCCTTCGCATGTGCTTTATATTGCTTCCAAAGGACTGGGAATTGTTTGCTGAAACTATAAATCCTTGTGGACAGCCTCAGCCAGTTATTTGTAAGAGGCTCTTTGGTAAGAAAGGCTTTGTGAAGTAAGTCAATGATAATTACAAAATTCAGTTAATAATTATTGGTAAATTTCAACTGAAGGAGCCTTTGCCAGGTACTGGTATGTATTTTTGTCTTATAATTTATAACTAATCTATATGAGAAAACAGCAGCAGTGTTTTATTTTTTAATTTAGTTGACAAGCTAGGACTGCAGGAGTGAAAGTGTGCATTGAAGCTCTGGGGGGCAAAATGTACACAAATGTGGTAGGGAATAAAGAGAAAGAAGAGCACAATAAATTTACTTTTGAAGCTTCCTCTTGGTTTGTGTACAACATGACTCCAGGTTGTGGGTATGGTGAGGTGATGATAGATGTGCAATGTGCTTTATTATGATTAAAATGTTGGTCCATGAAGTATAATGTTTTGAGCCTTTGACTGAAACCTGGCTCCCTCACACATGGACCAGAAATGCCAAACTATATTCCTTGGGTTGAACCGGCTCTGGGTTCAGACTGAAACTTTTCCCTTACAGTCACTGTCAAAAGCTTCCTCCCTCCTTTTTGCTTCAGATACACAGAAAAAGCAGTTTAACAGTCTGTGGCTTACTGGAGGCTGCAAGGACTGCTGTTTACCTTGACTTCCCTCACCAGCTTTACTTCAGCCTAAGTAAACACTGCTGTCTGCTTGTGCTATTTGCTTCCTCAGTGGAGTCTAAAACATGGGAACACTGAAGTTGGTTTGAGGGGGATGAGGGGGAGTGGCAGGCTAATAGAGCTATAAGGGCTGTCAGACCCTCTGCAGGAGAATTTCACCCTGAAATCCTGCAGGCAGATGAGGTCCAAAAGAGCACACTTAACACCATGACACCTCCATGTATGACAGGATGTGTGTACACATGCATATGTGCAGCCATCTCAGACTCTGGGCAAAAAATTCAGAAATGTGGAGCAAGTGTTCATGTTACTACAGTTATGGAATATTTAACAAGTGGTATATTATATTCCTAGAGATCGTGGCTGAGAAGGAAAGAGCAAGCTAGAAAACAAGGCAGCAAAGAGAGAAGCTTATTGGAGTCTTGTTGTGTGTTTCATTTATTATTTGACAACGTCTGAAAAACATGCTATGAGATTATCAAAAGTGCTGCCTCTGATACTTCTCTTTTTTCACAACTGACTTTTAGTTTAGTGAGCTGTGTGTTTTCTCTGGATGTCAATTTGCTTTTGGGGGTGTTTTGTATGCTATTTAAATGCCATATAAAACCTGGGGGGAAATGAATCACATACTGTATAATCAACTGGTGCATTGAGAGCAGCTGGCATCTCAGACTGCTCTGTGTCTTTTCCAGCAAAAAGATGTGATTATAATCAGGAGGAAGGATACTACTATTTCAGTTTTGAATTGATTTATACAGTCCATCCACTGTAGGTTCGCCTTTGTTTTCATACACAAACTGGCTGACCTTATCTTTCATCAGTTTTCCTTCTACCTTTTATGTTTACATTGAAAATCCTGGGTATGTCTTCTTCTTCACACAAATGTGTGGAGTGGCATTTCAGATTTGTATAGATGGGGAGGGATCAGAGTCAACCTCAGCTCTGCTTTGACCTGCTTCACTGTATATGAGCACAACTATAACCCTAGAGGAACACAAACACAGGTTTGCCTTGAGCGCAAATTAATTGGAGATAAGGAAAAATTTACAAAACAAATATTATTGGAAATTATTATTCAAGTTTACAGGGATATTTTATGACAAAGGAATCCTGTCGTTCCCTATGTTGAACTGTGGAGCCAGTGCTGAACAGAATGAGTTTTATGTAAGAAGGCGACAAAAGGGGACAGAAATGGAGAAAACTGAGATTAGTCAAAGATTTTCAGTCTTTCTGCTTCTTTAAACTAAATGAATTAGTGAATGGATTTCAGTTTGGAAGAGGCTTAGTTCTTGGATCATTTCCTTTGACAGTGACATTCTAGATATTGTCCTCTGTGTTGCTCAGGAGGATACAACAGGGATGTGACATTGCTACACCAAAACCAGGGAAACTATCCAGATGGTGTTCAAACACCACTTGTAAGCCCATAGCATTATGCTCTTTGTTTAAGAAATCTTTTTCAAAATCCTTTTTCATTCAGTTGAGAACAAGGTTTTGATATATGGAGCTTAAAAATGCCTCATATGTCTGAGTAATTTCAGTATTATGAAGGCTTCATTATATTTAGGAGCAGGGAGATGGGATGTTTAGGAGTTAAGAGCTTACTTGATGGATGTAATGTTGCTGTTTAATTACGGATGTAAACAAAACTATCTGAAATAATTGCAGTTGTGTCTTAGGAAACTTCAGTGGCACACCATTCTGATTTTACCACACATTGAACAAATTTAGATTCATCCATTGCACCATTATTTGTTTTTACTTTACTCTTTACGCTTATTTTTGTTGTGATTCAGCCACACAGCCGCCCACAAACATAACATCGTGGTTTTGCTGCAGATAAAAGTGAAAAAAATCTCAGCCAAAAACATGTCACTCATTTGCCAAAATTTTTTGTTCGTTATTTATGTAACCAAAAAAAATTTACTTCCAAAGCTAGAAGATTTATGGAGAGAAAAGAACCTTGTTCTACAGTAAGATCTGACAAAAGCATTACGTAAGCCACTAATACATGGAAATATTCTGACCCTTCGAATAGCAGACAGGCTTTCAAATGGTGTGGCTCATGCTCAGGTTTTCATCTGAACAACCCTACTGAGGAATGTGTACCCACAGCTGTAACCCCTTTGCTGAAGCATGGTTTGGAAATAGGACATCCACATACACACAGAGGAACACATGCCAGTGCTGTCTGACGCTGCCACCACACAGCCACTGTATATCCTTGTGGCCCTTGCCAGTGTTAGTGTGCAGTGACTAGCAACATGTACAGCAGATGTTTTTCCAAAGCTGTGTTAGTCCAAATAATGATTCTTTAGGAGTCTGTCCCTGCTGCTGCCTGTAACCTCTGTCCTGTTCTCCCACAGCCCCTCATCCAACTCATAGGCTCTGATGACGACGCGCTCCAGGATTTTGCTGCTGGTTGTGTGCGCAACATTCGACTTCTGGCCCAAGCCAACAGG